ACACGCCAAAATCTGGAGGAAAACCTTCCCAGAACAGTGGAGAATGTTGTAAGCTCAAAGGTTGACCAACTCCATATGAATGGCCATGGATCTGGAATGGGATGTCCAATAGGTGTCAATAGACTGATATATTTTGCATCACCCCTCACCATGCCCATGATGAGATAGCGAGCCTTTCCTCCAGTTCCCTCATGTTGCCCCTCCAATTCACTTCTGTGCTGAGCTGATGGAGAATCATCACATCCAGAGGAGAATAAAGATGCCCTTTTATAGAAAAAAAACTTCAACCCCATAACTTGCTATGACATCAGATCTTACTTTCTACGTTAGTTTTGTAGGAAATCCAGGTTACATTTAGGGTGTAATGGATTGCAGCGCCATCTGACCCATCATATTTCACATTATACACTGAAGAATGAAATGAAAACTATCACATAATATAATATACACTGCCTGGCCAAAAATAAGTCACAGAGTAATATTTTGCTGGACCGCCTTCAGCTTTGATTACGGCACACATTTTCCGTGGTCTTGTTTCGATAAGCCTATGCAATGGCACAACATTTATTTCTGTCTATAGTTGAATTCATTTCTCACCAAGATCTTGTAGTGATGATGGGAGAGTCGGACCGCAGTGTAAAGTCTTCTCCAGCACATCCCAAAGATTCTCAATGGGGTTAAGGTCTGGACTCTGCGGTGGCCAATCCATGTGTGATAATAACATCTCATGCTCCCTGAACCACTCTCTCACAATGTGAGCCCGATGAGTCCTGGCATTGCCATCTCAGAATATGCCCAATGTGCCATTAGGGAAGAAAAAGGTCCATTGATGGAAACCTGGTCATTCAGTATATTCAGGTCAGCAGCTGACCTCATTTTTGGGCACATAACATTGCTGAACCTAGACCTGACCAAATGAAGCAACCCCAGATCATAACACCGCCCAAAATCCAAGTGGTGAGTTTTTTTGGCCGGGTAGTGTAAACAATTCCATTCTCATTCATTACATCAATAATGAGTGTTCAGGATTCTTTCATTAAGGCAGCTTGTTATCAAATGCCTGAAGGGTACCTGTACTGGAGAAAAAGAGGCAATACTAACCGAGGGCAGCAGACGTCATCAACCTGCCTGATAGCAATTATCACAAGAATTTCTGAAATATGTCTTTATTCAACCTCAAATACTATGTAACTATGTAATTAGCATAATTTTAGCATTGCATCCCTGGCTTTCATACGCTGGGACCTGGTGATAGGCGGGAGAGTTGGGGGTGCTACCCCCAGAGGTCAGGGTATTTTCCGAGTGATGGTGTAAGGTAACAGTGATGTCTAAAATCTGACTTTATCAGCTTTGTCCGTCTATATCCAGTGAAGGTGTGCTTTAAAACAGAACTCTAGCCAAAGGTTTGTTTGTTTTTTGGGATGGTTGTCTTCCTGTCTGATGTCCCTCACTTCCTGCTGCAATTACCACACAGGAAGTGAGTTAAACCCCGACGCAGGTTCCATCCCTTCCCCGCTACCATCCAAAACTAGAAGATAATATTGCTTTAAAGCAGTGGTTCTCAACCTGTGTAACCTCAGGACCCACATTTGTCCTTGGTCATTAAGTCGTGACCCAAGTTGCTCTGCATCGGAACGCACGGCATTGCACTACCGTGCGTTTCGGTGCAGGCGATCGAAATGTCGGTGGGCCCCTAGAGCCAGAATGTAACGTCACTCCGGGCAGGCACCTCTACAGGACATGTGAGGGAGCTGTAAGCAATGCACGTATGGATGGAGCTCCCTGGTGGCCATAGCCCCATCCCATCCCTCCTGAAGCTGACACTCGGTGCCAGGCAATATACTGTTTTTTTAATGAACCGACAGTGCAGCTCTATAGGGCAGGCTGAGAAGCCTCTCACCTAGAAAAGTGGAAGGCATGCGGCGACCCACTAAACACGGGGCCGCGACCCACTTTTTGGGTAACGACCCACCAGTTAAGAACCAAGGCTTTAAAGTATATTTCTAGTCAACGTTTTCTTAGTTTTGGATGCAGTGTACCATTGTTAAAAATGCTAAAATCGTGAAAAAACCTGAATGTGTTCAAATTGTTCTGGGAAAAATAAAAGCTGAACTAAAGGCATGAAATCTTTCACTGAAATATACTCCTCAATAACCACAAAGAATATAAATCCAGTTTTTGTGCACCAAATGTCTTTGCAAATCCAGATGTTACTATATATGTACTGCACATAGCCTATGCAGAGATCAGAGCTGTGGGAGTAGTTTGCCTGCAGAAAACTACAGGAGTGGGCGGAGACAAGACCAGTCACCCTGCACAAGATGAGAGAGAGGCAGTGATCGGTCTTTATTACAGGAGGGGGCGAAGGCAAGACCAGTCATCCTGCACAAGATGAGAGAGAGGCAGTGATCGGTCTTTATTACAAGAAGCTCCAAGTTACTGCACAAATCTGGAAGAAATACACAAAGCTCACCAAGATTCCAGGATGAATACACATGACTCTTGTATGAGGACAATATTTGCTTATCCCGGTGTTCAGAATTAAATATTGACACTTTCATAATTTCATCGCAGATCTGTCCATACAGTATGTGCCTGGTGTAAGATCGGTTACATTGCATATTCTGGATCCAGGAATGGAACTGGCTTCCCGCTATACCAGTCATGGATTGGTGAACACTGGGCGGTCAGTGATCAGTGAACACCAGAGCACTTTGGCACAGCTGAAGCATCTCCGCCGTGCTCTCAGAACGCCGTTGTCTCATATCTTTACCCAAACCAACAAAATCGAGGCATTTAGCACATCAAGACCCAACCCTAAACATTGTCAGCGCAATTCATCACAAAGAAACAACAATCGGCTTAGAGTAAAATAATGTGTATTTTCAGAATACAATGGTCTACCCTGAGTTGGCCGAGACACAGAACAGGTCCTCTTGCCCATGGGTGCAATTCTGTCTTTATATCATGATGCGGGGTGAGGGAAGGGCTGGAGTAGGGGGGGGGGGGCGAT